CATTATACCTATAAACGATTCTTTGTCTCTGTTGCAATTATGATGTTAAAAAAAGTATTCTTAAAAAGATCAGTCACATCTATTAAAGCATATAAAATAATAAATGGCCATTTGTCTATTCTCTCATGTCCTCATTAATAATTTTGTTTCCCTATTTGTGCAGGACATCGTGACATTTAAAAAGCTCGATGTTACTCACACAACCCATTAATGATGAAAATACGCCCACGCTGTTTGTTGTATGAACTTTGTCGCATTTCTATCACTTTGCGTGTAACTTTTTTGTGACTGAGGTTATCAAATGAAACAACATAGCCGCTAATGGCCAATTAAAAATTTCATTGAACCACAAGTAATTGCAAGGTTTTTTAAAGTTAGAACATCGAAGGATTTAAACGTAATTAGAGCTTTTGTAAGGAGCTTTTTAATTATTTCGTGATAATAATATAAATTCAGTTGTTGGGAAAGCATAATGAATTCCAAGAGATATAATCTTAAACAAGTGATTAAAGTGTAAAATAGAGATTTAAAATAAAGAAATTAAAGATATTTTTCATTATTTGGATTTTAATTATATGTATTTACATATTTATTAAATTTCATGGATCAATATAATTATAATTATACATTATAGGTAAACTAAATTTAGTTTTTAATTCCATTGTATATATACTAGATGACCTGACAGAGGTTTACCCACGTCTACAATTCAAAAGTACCAGATTTTTAATATCCTATCCTATACTATTCAATATCCTATTTAATATCCTACCGTTGTGATTCATTTATGGTCTTAGCATAAGCAGGTAAAAATCCATTTTATTAACAACATAATTACTTCAATAATTTAGTCTATTATTTTCATTATCTCGTAGGTACGATATATTAGTTGTTTTTTGGCAATTATAATTTTTAAAGTACATTTTTCTTACTAATACTTTAATAGACATTAGTTGAATTAATTTGTAAAATCTAGTTCATATGAGCACTCTTCAATCTAACACAATTTGACACACGGAACAAAATTCTAAATCATGTTTTTAATAAGTAGAATTTTTTTTTGTATTTTTAAATAATTTAGTAAAGTAAACCAAAATGCGAAATTCAAGTTTAAAAAACTAATGTATATGCACCTTTGGACTTAATGCGTTATTTATTAAACTAAATTATATAATTTCATCTGCCAGCATATACTTGACTATAATATATTTTTTTAACTTTTGGCACATTTCAGCTGCTTTTCGGCAATAATAATGTAAACAATACATTTTCCTTGTATATAATTTTCTAATATTATCTAAGCTCATAATTTCAGCCAAATTCAAAATTCAAGTGAATTGATATTTCTAGCAGAATTAATTTGTAAAATCTAGTTAATATGAGCACTCTTCAATCTAAGATCAACTTGCTAAATATTCTATATCCCAAACATATAAATTTTTGGCACATGAAACAAAATTCTAAATCATGTTTTTAATAAATAAAAATACTTTTTTGTATTAAAATTTTGTTTAAAAATGAATGTATGTGTGTGTGTATGTATGTGTGTATGTGTGTATGTGTATATGCGTGTATGTGTGTGTGTGAAGATACAAATTTTCGTCGATGATTTCGGGAACGCGGATGAAGCGATTTGAATAATTAAAAAAACATTCGATTCGTATTGATAAGAAGACGTGCTGATTAATTTTTGAAAAAGGCAGGTCTCACCGTTTCGAAGGTATGGGGCAGAAAGTGCCAAGAACGGTAAAGGAAACGGAGCGTCTGATTTGAATAATTCGAAAAACATTTTACTTGTATTAACAAAATGAAGAACTGATTAAATTTTCATGAAGGCAAGTCTAGCGGTATCTCTATTTTATAGAGATTTTAACAATAAGTATAAATTTTGTTTACATTCCGATGGGTTCCCTACCAATCTTTATCCGTTAGATGGCAACGCGTCGCTTACGCGCTTCGATGTTTCGTCTCTATGCAGTTAAAGCAGTACGATTGCTCTGAAAAAAGTTCAAAATTTCCAAAATATTTCGAAATAATTTTTTTTCAAAAAATCTTTTTTTTCAAAAAAAAGTGAATTTTAGTCAAAAATTTATAGTTTCTCAAAAATCTAATTTTTTCAGAATAATTTTTTTTTTCAAAAATGTTAATCTTTTTAAAAAAAAATAGTTTTTGGTACGGGAAGTACCAGCAATTTGTCTTAAGGCACGATGCCATGAGCCCCACTAGTCTTAATTTCTGGCACATCTCAGCTGCTTTTCGGCAATAATAATGTAGACATTGTCAATAACAATGTCAAATTATGTTAATAATAGTGTTTTTTGTAATTTTTGTCATTTATTTCTACAATATTACTATAGTTTTATTGTTCAATAAATCTTAAAAATTTCCTTTGAATAGAAAATTTTCTATCTTAAACTCCGAACACTCCGAACATCGAAATACATAGTTTCGACAACTTCTTAAGTTATGCTTATTTGTGTGTTTTACCATCTGTGATGTTAAAAGATATATATTTTATCAATGTGCACATGCTCATATCATGGATTAATAATGTTTTCACTTGTTATATTAGGATACAAAATTGTAAGTTTTTTTAATTAATATAATTGTTTTTCTATGAAATTCCTTACATATTATTTATTTAGTTTTAATTATTATAGTTAAATTGATTGCAACTGAGTGAAGGCTAAGATGCTAGCCGAAAGTATAGATTTTAAATAAATTTCTAAAAACTTTCGTACTATTTTTATTAATGTAACGCCCGACTTTTAAACTCATATAAAATATATTATATCAACATCAAATTCAAATCTATTAATATATATATATATATATATATATATATATATATATATATATATTCAATAGCTAAGTCCTGGATTTTTTCAATATATTGATTGTTTCTTTTCCGAACAGTAAATCCAATAATAAAAAGCAATTTGTTTTTTTGAAGATGTTTAATAACGACGTTTCGGAACTAGGTACGTTCCATCATCAGGTCTATTCTGTCAAAGACAATGTTTTTTAAAACTATTGATTAACATTTAAAAAACATTTTCTTTGACAGAATAAACCTGATGATGGAACGTACCTAGTTCCGAAATGTCGTTATTAAACATCTTCAAAGAACAAATTGTTTTTTATTATTGGATTTACTGTTCGGAAAAGAAACAATCGATATATTGAAAAAATCCAGGACTTATCTATTGAATATATATATATATATATATATATATATATATATATATATATACAGGGCCGGTCCTGCCTTGCATGCGATGAATGCAAAAAATGCGGGCGCAAGCCTTAGGGGGCGCCAAAACGAGTTTTGGAAATTAAATTTTTAATATAATATTTATATTTTTTTATATAAAATCTAGAATTATTTATTTAAAATGTAGAATACTTAATAAATTATAATAAATAATTTAACTTATTTAGGGATACGGAGACACAAAAAGCGTATTTATTTTGCAATGTGATATCAGTAGAAACAATTAACCGATTAATAATTCTGCAAATTAGTAAATAACAGCTCTATTTATTGCTTAATCTACTTATTCATTTCTTTCTTTTTTTGAAGTTACCGTGGAATCGAAAAAAAATTATCTAGTGTTCAATTCCATAAGCGCAAACCTGCGAAAGATTAAATTAATTGTTGGGCATTATTAACGAAAAATTGCGAGCAGATTTAGTTGAATCGGAACTTGTTAAAAAATATAAACAAATTATAAAAAATGGGAAGTCAGTGCTTAGAAAATGGCATGCTTATTCCGAGAAATTGAATTGTAACTTTTGCTTTTGTTGCAAATGTTTCGCATCTGTTGAACTTTGAATGTTGAAGACATGCGTGGAACAAATATGAAAAATGGAAGCAAAATTTACTTTGAAACAAAAATCTTAAGGCTTGTTTTATACCTAGTGGTGTCCATACTCTAAATTTAATAATTATTAACTATACAGAAATAATACATATCAAATATAATAAGTTTTTTTCAATATTGTTCAAGAAATGTGTAATTTCTTTGCATTTTTTACTGATTTTTGAACAATTCTTCTAAAATAAGTTAAAAAGTTAATAACAAGCTGGAACTCTGAATATGACGGCTCTAACGATATCAATAAGGAGAAGTTTACGACGCAATTTTGGATATTGTAAATGATGAATAATTAAATTAAATTAAAATTTTAAAAAATTCAACATGAAATACGAGTGTTATGTTTGAAAATGAAATGCTAGTTTTTTTAAATATTAATATTGCACATACGTTAAAAATAATTGAAAATTTCAAAATACTTGATTATAATCAACGTCCCTAATCGCCTCGATTTTCTAAATAAATTTAAAATCAATATATTTTATACGCTGTTAGATTATATCTAATTTTTTGTGCACTAAATCCAGAATAATTAAAACTTAATTTATTTATTTCACTTAATATTTTTGTTAAATGAAAGTTACAGAATTTAAGAAATGCATTTCAGAAATAGTATTTATTATTTTGATATTAAAATCTTTATATCAAAATAATAAATACTATTTCTGAAATGCATTTCTTAAATTTTATAACTTTAATCTAACAAAAATATTAATTCTTTTGCTATGGTAGTCGAACTTACATCCTTAACCAATTTACTACATATTGAATATTACTAAAATGTGAAATTATGACAGGGATTATTTTATTTGTTGATATCGATAATAATAAATAAATTTAGAATCAATATATTTTATACCCTTCTAGATTATATCTATTTTTTTGTGTACTAAATCCAGAATAATTAAAAATTAATTTTTAAAAAATTTGTAAATATTTATATAATTTTAATGATAAACTGTTAAAAAGGTGAAAATTAATAGGGGGGGGGGGGCGCTAGAAAAAAAGTTGCATGCGGGCGCTAAGGACCACAGGGCCGGCCCTGTATATATATATATATATATATAACTATAAGTATATATATATATATATATATATATATATATACAATATATAACTCACCGAGACTCCTAGAAACTGCGTGGAATTGATGGCGGAATAGATGTCGTCTGCCGTTTCTTTATCGGTGTACGTAAAACTCTTCAATGATTTGCCTTGTCTCCTCAATCTGGCCATCGTCTTATTGAATGCCAAGGCAACGCTCCAAACCGCATCGTAGGCGAGAGGCGCCTCTTGGTAGCCCTCGGGATAACGACCGTTGTCGATATCGTAGCCGTCCTGTCGAAGGACATCTTCGAGACGACTCCTGGTAATAAATAGTGGAAACACATTTAAGAAAAGTACTGCAGAGAGGAAAAGAGTTACTAGATTTGAAAAAAATATAGTTCTCAAATGATTCTGGAAAAGGATACATTTATTAAAATATCATCAATTTTAAGAAAACGAATTTTTCAATGCAATGAACACGAATTGGTAATGCATAGTATGAAAAAATTCACAAAATATCATATATTTATAAAAGTTTACGCCATACGATAAATGAATTTAAATGACTTTAATTTTTAGTTTTTCGTGTAAAATATATGTTTAGGACGAGCCATAAATTGATTCAATATGATTGCAATTTTTATATAAATCCAAATGACTTTGTTAACTTCCCATAGGGCAAGTAATAGTAATCGCAAAAATTCCAAAATGAAAATTATATATACGTTTACGTTATGTTTCAAAATCTTCTGAACATTTTGGCATACCTTAGAAAAAATGAATGTATGTGTGTGTATGTATGCTATGTGTTTTTGTGCGCGTATGTGTGTGTGTGCGGATACAAATTTTCTTCGACGATTTCGGGAACACGGCTGAAGCGATTTGAATAATTAAAAAACCATTTGATTCGTATTGATAAGGAGACGTGCTGATTAGTTTTTGGCGAAGGCAGGTCTAGCCGCTCAAGAAAGAAATAATGTTTGGTGCGGGATGTTCCAGCACCACTAGTTTTGTCCACTATGATGGCAATACATAGTTCACTGTGATGGCAATACAGACAAATTTGTTAAAGACTAGTGGTACATGGCATCGTGCCTTAAGGCAAATTGCTAGAACTTCTCGTACCCTAACAAAATGTTCTAGAAATATTAAATGTTTCGAAAAGATTATTATAAATAAATACCGTAACATTGCCTAATATTTATAAGAATTATATGAACTGAATTGCAAATTTATAATAATTTATTTAAAGTATATACGTGAACTTTACAACTTTACTAAGAAATAAAATTAAAATCTTCATTATTTTCGATATACCAAAAAAAATTGAAAAAATTTAAGAAAAAAACTAAAAATTCAAAGCAATTGTTTCGTCAATAGAACCATTCAGATCGGATGCTTAGTTCTCTCAAAAACTGCAATTTTTGAACATTTAGCTTTGTATCTTTGAAACGGCTGAACCTGCTTTTGACAAAAACTAATCACCGCTTCTCCCCATCACTACGAACTGAACGTTTTTTAGATTTTTCAGATCGGATGCTTCTTTCTCTCGAAATCTCGATTTCTATTTTCGGCACTCTTTGCTCTGTATCTTTGTAACGGCTAAACCCGCCTTTGCCAAAAACTAATCAGCACCTATTACTATAACTATCCTACGGTAAGTTAATTAATATAGACATTAATTTAATATTCTGACCACAAAAATTGTCTAGGTCCCTCTATCAACAAAACATCTTTCTGCACAGAATCTACTAATCTACAAACTACTTAACCAGACAAGAATACATCAACGGTGAAGTTGATATAGCACGTAAATTTATATATTTAGGGGCCAAATTTATGATAAAATAGAAGCGTCTATCTTCGTATGAATTGGTGAAATCAAATTGTCAAAACGCAATGTATTAGTTGTGCGATCAAGCGTTTCACACATAAAACCTAACCTGCAAAACGCTCAAATTTCTACAATTTTAGAAAGCGTTCATTAAATCAAGTGAGGCATAACAAGGAAGAGGGTTTGACAAAAAATCAAGAAATATCACGTAGGAAAAATGGGTCTTGCCAGATATCACGTGAATTTATTTTTTACCTGAATTTTATTAAAAAATCAAACAGTTGGCAAAAAAATTAATAAAATTTACAAAGTACTTTTGACCACATAAAAGGTTAAGGAGGAGAGGGTAAATTTAAATATTACCAAAAAGAGAGAAGGGTTCTAAGAATCATCGAATAACAATAACGTAATTAATGAACGCCCCCTTATCTAAGTGCATCATGTTGATGATGCACCTAGAAACAAACGTGAAGTTAGGTTTTATATGTGGGTAAAACGCCTGATCGCACGGCAAATACATTTTTTGAACAATTTATTACTACCAATTCCAACGAAGATAGATCCGTAATAGAGCGTTACAATAACAATTCTAATTTATCGAAGAATTGATCTCTTAGTATTGGTTTTTATTAATCATGTAATTCTAAAACTATAGTTCGATTGCTTTTTATTGTACTGATTATCATTACATAAACTTAATTATGACAGTAAAAATATTTATCAAAAAATGTAATCAATATTAATAATGAATTTCGCATAAAAAATTTCATGTTGCAAAGATCTCTATACGAGCCAATAGTAGGAAAATTTGGATTGTGTCAATCGATCTCTAATTTTACACATATTTCACTGAATTTGCTCGTCATGAAAATCTATAAACTAATATAATTTTTTTATTTTTTCAGTCACAGCGCAGACAAACATTAAATTTATAGTTGGTAATATTTTAGCATGAACTTTATATTTCTCACAATTAATATAATGACGGTTAATGATGAATAAATAAATACACATGTAAAATACGTAAATGTACCTTTAGAATTTATCCAATTTCAATCAACTTAATGTTTAAAGAAGTTTTTTTTTAATATTTTAACGTAAGTCTATAACGCATTGTTATACATTTATTTAGTATTATGCATTAGTTTTTTTATTTTATTTATATATTTAGTATTATGCATTAGTATTATGCATTTAAAAAAAGTTATATATAATTATCTTACTAGAATATATTAAATTCGAATGGAATTTTTATCTTCACTATGTATTATACATAATGATATCAATCAAAATGCTGGAGAATTCAATAACGTACCTAAATTCCTCTCGTGTCATTCCAGATATCGTTTTCTGATTACTTCGATTCCACATTAAGGCTTCGGTGGTGAGATGTCCTTCTGCCGCAATTCGCATTTGCGCTTTCGTACATTCTATACCTTCCTTCTCTAAATTCACTTCGAACCAATTATCTTCATACCAACCTGAAATAGAAAAAAGAAACACTATAGTTCGTACAGTTATTACACTGAGCTTAATGAAACAGTACATCAACTAATGAGACACAGCATTATTTTAGTAAAAAAAAATCATTTATTAATAACAATCACAATATTAATTATATCCTGAGTTATTTTGGTTAACATCAATTAAATATAATTATAGATAGCAGTTACCCCAATGAGTAATTACTATTGGATACAATTCATTGGATCAAGTTTATTGGTCAAAATTTTTAAAGTATTCTTAACTTTAATGTAGAAACAGCGGAGCAATGAGTGGATTATCTAATTTGTGATGATGATTATGTGGTTCATCTTTTTATGAAGATTTTAATATATAGCACCTTCAGATCAGCATGCAGAGTTTTATTGCTCGCGTATCATCATTTTAAATAGTTTTAATTGGGTCCTGTTTAATTTTAAATAGTTTTAATTATCATAGTTTTATAGATCAAAATTTTGTTTTTGACTGCTAATTTTTTAACTTCCCGTAGGATAAGTTATTGTAATGGGCCGAAAATCGGAATTGAAAATTTTGACATTTCTCGACGTTTTGAAGGTTTCTGAACGTTTTGGCCTACCTCAGAAAAAATGGATGTGTGTGTGTGTGTATGTATGCATGGATACAAATTTTCGCCCACGTTTTCGGGCGTACGGATCAACCGATTTGAATGGTTTAAAAAACATTCGATTCCTATCGACAGGGAAAAGAGCTGATTAATTTTTGGCAAAGGCAGGTCCAGCCGTTTCGAGGATACGCAGCAAAGAGTGCAGAAAATAGAAATGGAATTTTTGAGAGAACAGAGTATCCGATTTGAATGATCTAAAAAACATTCAATTAGTAATGATTGGGAGAAGTGTTTATTAGTTTTTGGCAAAGGCAGGCCTATCCATTTCGAAGATACGAAGCTAAATATGTAAAAAATCGCAGTTTTTGAGAGAACTAAGCGTCCGATTTGAATGATTCAAAGAACTTTCTGCTTGCCTTTACAAAATAACTGATTTTGGAAAAAAAAAATTTGTTTAATTTTTTTTTTTAATTTTTTGTATATCGAAAATAATTCAGATTTTATTTATAATTCTGACTATAGTTCTAATATACTTTAAACAAATAATTTCAACTCTGCAATTCAGTTTATATAATTCTTATAAATATTAGACAATTTTACAATATTAATAATAATCTATTTGAAAACATTCAGTATTCCTCGAACATTTCGTTACGGTACGGAAAGTTCCAGCAATTTGCCTTAAGGCACGATGCCACCCACCCCACTAGTTTTATATTGTGTCCAATAAGCTAATAAAGCTCCCAATCTCTGGATTTGATAGTTGTGATTTTTATTGTGATGTGGAGTTTTCATTATAGACTGCGGTCGTGACGCATAACTAGACTAGTATAGATGCCAAACATTTTATTACACATTACTATTGAATAGTAATTCCGGAGATAATTTTTTATTGAAACAGTTTATATCATATTTTTTACTTTTTGTGTTTCATCAACTTCCCGTAGGGTAGTTATAGTAATGGGCCGAAAATCGAAAATGAAAATCGAAATTCTCGAAGTTGCTGAACATTTTGGCATACCTCAGAAAAAATGGAAGTGTGTGTATGTGTGTGTGCTTTGTATGTCTGCATTTTTTCGTCCACGTTTTCAGGCGCACGGATCAACCGATTTGAATGTTCAAAAAATATTCGATTCCTATTGATAGAAAGATGTGCTGATTGGCAAAGGCAAGTCCAGTCGTTATAGGAATCCATTGCTTGTTAAATTTTTCAAATCGGTTTATGCATACGCCCGAAATCGTCGATGAAAAATTGTGTCACGCACACACACACTTCAATTTTTTCTGTTTATGAGGTATGTCAAAATGTTAAGTATTAAATAATCTACAAAAATATTATTGAGTTTCTTAAATAATTTATAACAAATCCATAGATATCAATAATTTATAATTTGTGTATGATTACGAATCTGTATATTATAGAAATATAGGTATACTAACGCTTTCTCTTAACGCAATATACCATGCCAGTCAATATGACTGGTTGGGCACTTTCAATTCCAAATTCCCATTATATGCAAAATTTATTTTGTGAAATGAAGTTATGACTTTTTAAGTTATAAGCATAGAAATCATTTTATGTATTCAAAGTTACTTTAAATACGTTAGTAACAAAAATAAATTGTGCTACTACTATTTATACCAGCACTAGTCAAAATGACTGGTGCAAGTTTCTATAGAAAAATGTTTGATGAAAGAACAGAAATAACAATAGACATAGATCGTATGCATTTATAGCCTACTCTCTTATCGACGGCAATGTATATTATTTATTCTTTTTTTTTACATTGTAAAAATGCAGATTGCTGAACTATTACTACCAACAAAACAGTTGTTTCGAGTTTCGTTCAGCACACTAAATAAATTTTTTTTCAAAGTGAGTTTCAAGTATTTATTTATTTTTTTTATATATTAATTATTTTGAGTGGTATTGGTAGAAATTAAATGGCTGGTATATCTAGTGCTCAGACATTCTGAAGACGAGTCACATTACCACATTCTACTATAAGTAAGTAATACTATAATGGAAAAAAACGTATCGATGAATAGAATTTCAATTTCTGAACTCAAAACAATAATGATTTGTTTGTAATAAAAAAATTACACCGCAGAGCAATTTATAGAACTCTATAAAGTAAAAGTTGCTCAAATAAATCTAAATATAAAAGAATTGCAAAAACGTATGCTATTCTAGAGTTGATTGAACTGAAAATGAGCGTAAACTCAATAAACAAGGGCACAACGCAATCAAATATTTCAGTGGCGCTGTTATCTAATTTGCAAGTACTGCAACGGTTCCCTAAATAATTATCCCGAATGAACAGCCGCAGAATAAACAGAGTAGTTCTGTGAGAATGTTATTACAGTCGGCAAATGCAAATATTTTGAGTTAGTGCCCTGCCAAGATAACACAAACATGGCCAATTGTCCATGTTTATATACTGCACAAAATTCGGCATTAGTTATCAAAACGTTGTGCATAATTTAATTATACATGAGAACGATGATGTACATTTACCTTCCAATAGGGTAAGTTAAAGTTATCGCAAAAAATCTAAAACAATTTGTTTTGAATAACTTTACGTTTCAAAGGTTCCTGAACATTTTGGCATACTTTAGAAAAATTGGGTGTAAGAGTGTTTGTGTGCATGTATGTTTAGATACATTATTTCGTCCACGATTTTGGGTGCATGTTTCAGCCGATTTGAATGATTCAAAAACATTTGATTCCTACTGATGGGGAGACGTGCTGATTAGTTTTTGGCAAAAACACATCTAGCCGTTTCGATGATACGGAGAAAAAATGCCAAAAATGGTAATTCAGTTTTTCAGATATCTCAGCTCCAGATTTCAATGATTCAAAAAACATTTTACTTGTATTGACGAAATGAAGAATTGATTAAATTTTTGGAAAAGCAGGTCCAGCAACTTTAGAGATATAGAGGAAATTGTAAAAAAAAATATATTCGGCGGACTAAAATGATCATTAGACATGTGCAGTTATGCGCATCAAATTATCAGATATTTTATAGAGATTTTAAACATGAGTATCAATTTTGTTAAAAAAAATTGTGTTTTATATCAAGATTTTTAATTTTTATTTTTTAATGTTTACTTATACTGATTACACAAATTTTCAGAAAAAAAACTCAATTTTTTAAAAATTGAGTAAATTTTAAATTTACAGTTCAGTTTAAAATTGTATATATATATATATATATATATATATCATATGCGTTATTGTAATCGTAGAAATATATCCCCAGACGAATTCATTCGGCTTTTTTTCTCATGTAAACATTTTTAAGTTTTTGAGCGATAAGATCGTCACTGTATATTATATGAACACATAAATATATAATAATTATAATCATCTTCAAGTATTTAAAGCAGTTGTAATTGATCATTGATCAATATTTAATAATTACTATTTTCACTCGAATATTTAAATCTGGTACAGAAAAGTTGATGGTACGATGCCATGCACAACTAGATTTATCTGCAGTCAAATTATATGTACGCTACTAAAATTCGACCTTTTTATTTAGTGTTCAAAATATTGTAAATATTGTTAATATCTTGACATTTTAAAATTGTCTGAATTTTTTACAGATATTATACTTAAAATCATTCGACACGCATTTCAGGATTTTACTGCAAAAACAATTTTAAGGTAATATTTACTATTGAAATATGGATTCTTTGCTCATTTTTTATAAACATCCTTTGCCTTAAATTATTTATCTCCAGCTGTGCTGATCATATCAGTATTATTATTTTTTATTAAATATTTATGCAGTTTTCTGAACAATAACAACCCTGAAATATTTATAAAGGTTGTACTTACCCTTCACCCTGCTAAGAAAACTGCAACTTTTTTTTATCATTTTAAGGTTGACTTTAATATGAGTGTAATAAAAACTAGTTTGTATTGGTTGGCTTTGAGGCAAGTTACATGACCCGCCCGAGCTGTTTAATTAAGCGACTTAATAAATAAAAAAATAAATTAATTTATGAGTGATTAAAAGTATTCCAAGTGGATTTATTACACATAATTGAAAGCGAACGAACACGTTAACTATGAGTATTTTCTAAAAACACATTCTCAAAAATCAATAAGTTTTATAATTGAACCAGTTTCCGTAGGACTTTGATGGTTTAGTATGTTAATTAAGACCAAGTACTATACCGAGTACTTATACCGAGTAAATCGTCTAATCTACTACGAAAAATACTCATTTTCTCAAATTTTGATGCATTTTTAAAATTAAACTGCTCGCCGTAAGGCCGTAATTTTGCAATAAGTTGTAAAGACCATGATATATACATCAAAAAAAGTTTTATAAAAATCGGTTTAAACTTTAATTTAACAACAAATTACAAGAAAACGACTCGGTATTTTTACCTAAAACT